CGTATTTAAATGTCTATTTGAGGGTTTTTTTAAAACTTCCGGGGTCTGGACCCTCCCTTTCACAGGCCCCTCTAGTCGTTTAAAGCTTTCCTTTCAATCTGTGTCTTCTGGGTACGCGGATGTTTATTTTCAAATTTTCTTTTTGGGCCTTGACCTTCGAGTTTCGATGCGTTAGCTTGATAGTTTCTTTCCCCCATATAAGAGCGATTTCCATTTCTGGTTTCCTCCTTCCTTCGGGTACTTTGAGAATATGTTTCCCCTCTCGCTTTTTCCGCTATTCTGCGATTTTGAAACTTCACCGCCAATTCGAAAAGTTCCTGCAATGTGCTTGGGTTTCTAATTTCAAAGTAGTCTTGGACAGCGGGTAACAATCTTGGTAATATTATTTCAATTATCTCCGCATCGGGTTTCTTTCCATACAGCATATCCGTTAGCTTGATTTTTCGTAAAATAAAGTCCGTCAATTGTGCTGTATCCCGTTGATAGAAACTATATAGTTCGGCTTCCAGCCGTGCGCGATCTTTCACTATGGGGAAGGCCTTTACTAACGATTTTTTGAAATTTTCAAATGTATATGTCTGGCTTCCAAATTCACCTAGTAAAAATTTGCCTATGTTTTTCCACCATAGCGCGGCCTGTCCTCTTAGTGCTGATGTGGCGATGGCAACTTTTTGTCTTTCAGGCACAGGGTAGAGCTGAAAGTGGTTTTCTAGACCTTCTAGAAATACCGCCACCGAATTTTTTCCGTCGAAATGAAATAGACGTTTGGCTTGATTGATGCTCTCAAAGTCTGGACCAGGTATCCAAATCCTTCTAACTGCGACTTGTCATTTCTTGGTGTTGTCCAGCGGCTTCCATCCAGTTTTCGGCCATTTCAGTTCGATAAGTGTTCGGGCGCCAATATAACGTTGCGCGCCTCCAACTTGCACGCAACCAAGAGGTGACTGTGGAAACTTGTATAAAAAGATAGAATCTTGTGAAGGGTTTAAGTCCCTTTTTATTCAACGTAATAAATTACAATTGCGTGCTCTTGACGCTTACAGACGGTGCCAACTCGGCAGTCAAATAAAAATAATAACCTGAAAAGAAACTAAAGACAAGATTCTAACTACGAGGCTCTCTAAAATAACTAACTCACCGCGTTTTACAATACCGCTGCTAATTCAGCAGACTTGAAGCTCACTGGAACGATTACCACTACTTCCCGCCAAGCACATAGGCCGAAACGCGGGGTTCTTCAATTCTCGCTAACTACCTCCGCGCTCGTGCAGTAAGAATATCCCACACCGAACTTGTTTCCTTCTATTTAAATCATAATACTTCCGCTGATAATTTGAATCCTTGCGCGTTCTACTCAAATTTACATATTCTGGCATTGGCAGTTCCAGGGGAAAGTAAGGCTTGACAGGAAAGATAGTTTAAACTTAAAATAAATGTTAGTTAAAATAAATATAAACCCTACAACGGAAAATCGGAAATAGCGAGACATCACTAACTGTGATGTATTTACGTATTTATAAAGTGATTTCACGATGACTCTTCGCTCTTTAAACTTTAAACATTGCCTAAATAGAACATTAATGACATTCATTATTAAACCTAATGCAGAAAATTTGATTACTTTCTAGTAGTAATATTTTATTGACACGAAATTTTTAATTTTGGAAACTGAAATATCGAAAGTAAAAAATTATATTAAAACAGAAAAATGAAAACTTTTGAGGAAAGGGCTAATATTATAAATCTGTATTTAAAATATAATGTTTATTATACTTTAAATGTGTAATATATAATATATATATTATTATTATTATTATTATTAACCTATATAACCTATATATATATATATATATATTATTAACCTATATAACCTATATATATATATGTATTCTATTTTATATCTATATATATAGAATAGCTAAACTATAATAAAAATAGAGTAATGCTAATAGAATAGAATAGAATAGATAATATATAATACAATATAACCTATCAGGCAAAGGAAGAGTTAGAAGCAAAACAAATTTGACTTATTTGTAAAGCTTATTTATTAAACAAAAGGTAAAGAGCAAAAAAAGATGCTATATGTTTGATATTATTAAAAAATTAGCAATTTTTTCTCCCTGGAGCAAATTAAAAAGATAACCTATTTACAAAAAACCAATATTACATGGTTGCTATGATTGTTAATACATTGTATGTCTCCCAGACGATGCAATACAGTCCGTACAACGCCTAGGCATGCTGAGTATCAAATTATCGAGCTGATCTTGGGGGATATTACACCACACAAAAAGCAATGCTCTCCGAAGTTCCGCTAGACATGTAGGAGGAGATTGACGGGCTGCAACTCGTCGGCCAAGCATGTCCCACACGTGCTCTACTGGATTCAAGTCCGGTGAGAATGCTGGCCAGTCCATACGGGTATCCTCCGATTGAAGGCATTCGCTTACGATGTTTGAACGGTGAGGGCGGGCGTTGTCATCCATTAACACAAATTGTGCGCCCATGGCGCCCCGAAACAAACGTACATGCTGTTCCAGAATGACGTCCCGATAGATTTGGCTTGTCATGGTTCCAATTTGAACATGCAGGTCAGTTCTGGAACCCAGAATAATTCCACCCCAAACGAGCACTCCTGCATCACCGTAACGGTGTCGTTCAATGTTTTCTTGGTGGTAACGGGTACCTGGAGCTCTCCATATGAAAGGTCCGGCGAGAATCAGACTGCAAGCTAAACCTGGACTCGTCGGAAAACATCCCACAAGCCCACTGTTGTGGTGTCCACAATGCATGCTCTCTACTCAAGGCTAACCGAAGGCGACAGTGAGTTGCAGTAAGTGGAACTCATCTGACAGGTCCACGATCATATAGACCAATCTGCCCTAAGTGTCTGTACACCGTCTGCCTTGATATTGTCGTACCAGTGGCTGAAGAGAGCTGACGAGACAGGTCTGAGGCTGCGCTCCGCCTGTTTCTTTTGGCAGTTACTGCCAAATACCGGTCCTCATTCGGCGTTGTAACTCTGGAGCGACCTGTGCTGTAACGTCTACTCACATTACCATCATCTTGGAATCGTTTCCAAAGCCTGGAGATGACACTCTGTGCAATTCCAAGTTCGTCTGATACTTCCAGTTGGGTACGCCCACATTCCAGACGGCCGATAATTCTACCACGTAAAATCATCCAAATGCGTCCTTTGTGTCATAACTATTCGGTTATTGCACTGAAATGCTTATAAAGCACCTGCGAACAATTTTACTTCTTTGCCTGTATTCCTTCTATATCACTCTCTTACACTTTCGTCATTGTGACGTACCATCGGTGTCATCTAGTTACTTCCTGAAATTTGCATATGTTTCTTGAAGATATGTGTAGTGATTTTACAGGTGATATATTTATTTTAGATTTCGATTTCCGGGTGACTCCGAATTATCCTTGATTTATGGACATGAGTGTATTAAATTTGCACAACCGCATTTATTTTAGAGAATTCTCAGGATTTTTTAAAATGTTCATAATTTACCTTATTAAGTCATTTGGTATCAAACGATATCAGATAATGAAGAATAATAGCGAGTTATTTCTATAACTGTTTTACTGTGCTCAAAATTAGATCCTTTGCCGCTTCATTATTCTTGAAATAAACAGCATAAGGACACGAAAGATAAAAATATACAGCGAAATAAGGACTATATTTCTAGTGTGCACTTTTAAATTAATATGTAAAATTCAACAATAGATAAATTCTAGAACAGAAAATTGAGTTCTGCTATGATTTTGCATCCTCGAAATAAAAGCAGTATGCATTTTGAAAAACTAAATATAGATGCTTAATAAAATGCTGGGTAGTTTAATGCTAAGCAGAAAGTTGTAATTTGCAAAGAAGCAGTTATTTTTAAAGGACTTTGATATTCTAATTATTCATTCATTATCATTAGAATAAATAGTTGTCATTGTGAAGATAGTTAATAATTTGATTATAAATCTTGTTAAGGATTTCTTGTTTAGAATAGATATATGACATCTTTTCTAATCTAAATAATTGACTTTTACATTGTAAATCTGTTTTATAATAGAGCCAAAATAGCAGCTGTTTCTAGACGCTTGTTTAATCTTTATTCTTTTATTTGCAAAGCAAGTTGTCTGACAGATTTTTTAGTGAATTATGTTTCCAGATGAGCATTAATTTAACAAAAGAGATGTCATTCACCAATAAGCGTTATGGCAGTAGTAAAATTGAGACACCATGGCCAGTATAACTATAATTACATTACTTAAATACTGAATTTTATTATATTATGCTATGCGAGATTCAAAGACAAATATATTGTTACGTTCTACGGGTTCGTTGATTTGGCGTAATTGATGGTAACACTTGATGAAAGATCAAAACGCAATTTATTCGCCAGTATTACACAGGACAGTTCCAAGGACACGTTTACAGTCGTCGAAAAACTAAGATAAACACGCTGAAACAATCAGCAACAAAACCTTCAGACTATAACTGTGAAGACAACTTCGCGGCAAAGCACTAAAGTAAAGCTCTCGACTCAGTCGATCGCTCTCAAGCTAATCTGTGTACTCAAAACACAATTAGCCTACTGAATTAAAGATACCACTACTCCGCGGGCAGGTAGGGTACATAGCTTTTACCTACCTTTGAGAATATTCTCGGGAAAACCGCTAAGAATGTGTTCTAGAATGTTCTCGCTCCGCCATTGGCATATCGCCATTTTTTTCCCAAATAGGCGATTTCGCGTCAAATGTGGCAAACCCGACCATTTTCTGCAAATTTCTAGGAACCCTAACTCTGTTTTGCGGGTAAGCTGAACCGAAGTTGGGCATTTCACAACAATTCACATTACATTTCACAACAACGTGCATTAAAATATTCCATAAAATAGCAGAACAAAATATACACTAAAATGTGAAACAAAATAATGTGCAAAGTGATTGCACTTATTTTGATATAAAGTGATTATAAAAGAAATAAGTACCTTTGGTGCGATTTTTATAAGCTTAGCAACAGTGTATCTCTCATAAGGAACCTTATCATTATTACATTGAAAAGCTACCTGTAAGAAAATAAGTACAACAGTTTGAAAATTTTGAAAACAGGATAACGGCAAAGCTTTATTAAATCATAGAATAAATGCATTAAAAGAGGCTAAAGTTTGAAATATTTCTTGAAAGCAAAGCCTGATATCTAAGAACTATACCTGAACTGGGTTTCCTTCATGATTACTTATTACGGATCTATATTATTGGACGCTTCATTTTTTATTTCATTTGGTCCGTCGTTGAAAACGTAATCCATTCTTTCGTATAATGATATGCTATTTTATGGTATCCATTCATTTTAAGTTTTATGAATACATGTAGAATCAGGTAAAGCAAATGCTACTATACTTTGTGAACTCATTTATATTGCTCGAAATTGAATGATTAATCAGATTTGAGCAAAACAAACACTTTACAAAGCAAAGGCCGAAATTTTATTATATGAAACATATTTTCTTCACATGCTGAGTGAAATCCTTCAAGCCACATGCAAATGAGATAAATAGAATAAAATTACGCAGAATAAATGCATTAAATATTGCAATGACCTAAACCTTAGAAAAGTATTTCAGTTCATTTACAACTATTTAATACATTCTCTTACAGATTTTGATCAGCTTGGGATAAGAGACAAGTCTATCGTTGTAAAAAAGACCAGTAGACCCATCCCAATGCGATATTGCCCAGTTTTAATTTTAGAAAGAATATAATTAAATATTTAATAGGCGAATCAGTCTAAAGAAACTCCCTTGTCAGTATGATCCCTAATAACGTATATGCACTTGCAATTGTATGTTTTTACCCTAACTGTTTTAACAAAGCAATTTGTTATCATTAACTTTACTTTTCATACCTTAAGACTACAGAATATCTAATTATGTCATGAAAAATAAAGAATAAGAGTATATATAGATATATATATATGTGTGTGTGTGTCTGCAAAATATAAATTGCCGCCCAACTGGAATAGTGGTTAGTGACTCTGGCTGCCTTACCGAAGAGTCCGGGTTCGAATTCGAAGATGGCATGAATGTTTTTAAATGTATAGTGTCTGTATGGCATTACACTCGGGCACTCTAAATATGTGGGGAGCTGAAAGTCCTTTTGAGAGGTTAGTGGTAAGGGAAGAGGGGTGGGAAACCCTCGGACTTGTCTACTCGGGGTGCACTCCTTCAAAGCTGGGAACAGAAGTGAGCAAAGATTTATTGTCCCCTGTAGAGTACCCAAAGCTCTTGCCAACGACAGGCGCAATCTCGCCTCTTTGTTACGATGAATTTATGAATTTCGTTAGCTTACTCTGATGTCAGACAAGCGAGATTAGTCACAACAATAACAACAAGCTCTAAAATAATGACAGCCCATTCTTAATTTTAATTTTGCAATAGTCCCTTTATTCTTTACTTTAGTTTGGGTACTTCCTCTTTCTATCTTGAATATAATAACTATTTATAACATACTAATACAAACTGCATCATTTCAAAATAATCCGCGTCAGTTATTCAACACGCAACGCAGAGATATCTTTTATCCATTCACATGCCAAGATTTCTTTTAGAGAACTTGTGTAGAATCATTAGGTTTTTTTTTTTTTTTTTTTTCCGAAGCAGAAGACTTGAAAAAATTTGCACTGTCCTCGCCAGAAAGTTTGTACATTTTTCTTCTTCATTTTCAATAGTAATGTTTTTTTTTTTTTTTTTTTTTTTTTTTTTTTTTTTTTTTTTGTGATTTTAATGTTGTTGCAATCATTTAGTGATTTAGTGCTTCATCGAGGGTCACGATTTATCTCCGATTAAATAATTTTCGTACGGGGCTCTACAAATTGATCTGCGCTTAGTCACGTTCCTCGACAAGAGCTGGTGAACATTATGTTTTTAAGCATTTTTGAGTAGTAAATTTTGGTTTATTATTTCGTTTCTTGTTGATACAGGTGTATTCAAAGACTTTGCAATTGATTGCTGAGTTGACGAACATTTTCTTGTTATGAACGATTTAATTTTAGAAACATTAGAAACAGTATGTACCATTTTTGTGTATTAGTTTGGAGTCTTCTTTCCCTGAAGATGTAATGTTTGACGGTTTTTTCTTGTCGATTAATAATGCTGCTTATTTTTCACTTAGAAATTTTATATTATGCATTTCACAAAGTTTTTTTAATCATGGACTAGGAATATGTTTTTATGAAAAGCGCAGAAAAGCATCCTTCAATCCATAACTTGTTTACATGGGACGTTTTGAAAGAAAATTAATTACGATATTTCGCATTTCAAATAATAGGCTGTTGCCAGAAATTTTATTCCAAACATTTGCTTTCTTTTAATCGTTGTAATGTACCAACATCCTCTGCAGGTCGAAAAGGGACAGGCTCCAGATATAAATTGATTTAAACATTGGTTATCGAGACATTATTTACAGTGTTTTACATTGATTAGCTTATAGATATTTAACAGTATAACATATGATTACTGACATAGATATTTAACTATTAAACTTAGTTGTTTCTTTTTAAATTCCTACTATTAGCTCACACTCTCCCTATATTTTGTTCAAACTTTCAATCGTTAATAAAATACTTTTTATTTATCCACTAAAGTTCAAATACATTTTTAAAGCTTTTCACATATTAAAGTCAATTCCTAATAATAAGGAGTGCGAATTTATATCAAAAGCCGTGGTAGCAACAGAACTAATTCACTAACATTGCTATGCTAGCCTGTGAATCTGCGTTTCTGCCGAATTCAAAATCTAAAGGAAAAACACACTTTACACGTTTCAAAATAAGAGAAAAAATAAAAAAGACACTAATGAAGAAATAATAGACCCCCATCGGCTTCATAAATTAGAAACGAAAAAATGTTAATAATGTTAATAAAAAATAACTAAAATAAAATTTTCCTTTGTTGACCTAAATAGGAATTAACTAATTTTTTTAACTTGTTTTAAACTAACTAGTAATTATGTTTTCGATCCTTGCTTTCTTCTTCCAGTATTCCTCATCAGAATGCAAATTAGTTTGTAGTGGATTTAATTTGAGGCTTCTGGTAATTAATTCTTCATATATAATCTGCCTGCTATTGATAAACAAATTAAACTATTAAAAAGCAATAGATGTAGTTCATATAAATATTATTTTTTACTTTTTAATCTGATTGATTCATACAGACAGTATTTCCGTGATTTATATTTTATGCAGTAGGTAAAACATTGAGCCTCCTTCAAGGTGTATTAAAAAGTAAATGTTAATAAATGTAATTATAATTGCTTTTTAATAGCATTTAATACACTTACGATAAAATTGTAACTTCAGTTACAATTATATTGTAGTTATAAAGTAATCGTAATTACAAATCGTTAAACTACATTTGCATTAAAATTATTTAATTAACTTTGATTACAATTACATTGCTCCTGAACTAATTGTAAATGCTAGGTTTTTAATTATATCACTGTAATTAATTTTACCTCCAATTGCATTATAATGGTAAGCTTAGTTGCACTGTGTTTATAAATTCAATTAATTCATTGACACTGTAATGGGAATTACATTGTAACTCAGTTATTCATTGTAATTCAAATTATTAATGAATTACATTTTAAATGGTTAATGGCTAAATTATTATGCTGACAGCTCCATTAGGTTAGGTTAGATTATATTAGTATTTGAATATGGCAAAGCATAAGAGTGTTATCTGTCTAAGAGAAGGTATGCCTGCGCGAAAACTTGCTGAGGAAAACTCGTATTCACGTTCAGATGCGGAAAACAACGAAAAAACACTGATGCAGCCAGCTAGTTCGGCTAAGTTCGGAATAAGAGGGAACTACCTGTATTCTGCTGTCATAACCATTCGGCAACTGGTAAGATACCAACTGCACCGTAGCTGATTTTAATCCTTTAGGAAATTATAATTTCAACTGCCTTTAATGTTAATCGATTTAAGAATAGATCAGTACATTCTTCGCAACCGAATTATACTGCGATCAATATTAGCTTATTGATTCGTTTTAAGACCAGAGACCAAACGCTAATGAATATTGACATAAATATAAATCTGATGTGGATACTATGTGACTTCTTCATACGACCTGTTAAATTAGGCACGTTTTTGGCTGTTCTGAACTTATTTCCTCGAATTATTCTAACTTAATTCAACAAAAGTTGAAAATGACATCAGAACCTGCAAATTTCGAAATTAAACATCTCAAACAAATTTTGTCATTTGGCGTGAAACTTCTTGAATTTTTACTTTTTCATAATAAGTATTAAACATTCTGAAATATAAGTACATGATCCAGGAGGCGGCACTAAATGATTTAAAGATAGATTTCATTAGAAAGAACTTTAAGCCGGGTAAGGGAGTTGAGTACACATATTGATATTTTTGGTATTGACGATTTCAATAAAAGGGAGATGTACAACTAGAATAATAGCAGTTCCATATACACCATCTCAACGCTCTACTGCTAATCGTTTTTGAGTTACGCTAGATACATACGTACGGACGTACAGACGTCATGAGAAACTCCATTTTGAATCCATATTTTAATATATTTTTCAAAAAAGAGTCCTTTATTATGTCCACATGTACAAATGTCACGGGAAAAGAAAACGAATTGCGAAGGGTTAAACGGATATTTCCGTTGAGACATAATACCCCAAAATTTTCCGTTTACAATATTTTCATTACTTGGTAAATGGAAATGATAATTCAGTAAGTCTGCAGAAGTCTCTTGCTTAATTTTGTTGCCTCGCATCTGAATCACTAAAATAAACAGAAAATAAAAAAGTCAAACCTTTAAAGTTTTATAGCAGATCCGCATATTACTTCAAATTGAAAGACTCTCGTCGCTATTGTCTCGGAAGTTGATTTAATGAATACATGCTTTGTTTCTTCCATTATAAAGATCACTTATAAAGTATAAATCCATTGCATAAGAATAAATGTTTATTCATAACATAAATCGAAAGAAATGTGAAATTGACCGTTGCCATTGTTTTAGATATAGACATCTCTACACTCATGCTGAAGTCTACTTCTTAGCTAAAATTTTACGTGGTGTATATATCTATGTAAGTTTTCAAAACATTCATGTGATTACAAGAATTTGGCATTAGTTAAGATCCAAAATTTACCAGCAATCGAAATGATCACTAGCGCTATTTTAAAACTAGAACCTCGGTTCTAGATAAACAAGAAATGTATAACATTACAAGTGTAAATGCATTGAAGAAGAAAATTAAGAACATTCTTGCACTTACTCGGGCAAGCTGAACTGCTAAATACAGCGATTTTTCAAGTTCATCGTTGGATGGGAAATTGAAAGCTTCAGTTACTGCTTCCATCAACTTCAAGTTTTTCTGAATGAAGGATCTCGCATCCCTAACATCTATTCCTAAGGAAGGTTCCAGCTTTAGAAATGAAAAATAAATAAATAAGTAAATACATGCAAATTAAATGATCTAAGTGCAATAAATGCAATTTTTATAAAGAAGATTCTGAAATTGCTCTGATTTAAACAGTCGCCGAAAAGCATTTGTTAAGGTTTTTCTCTGATCTCGCAGTTTGCCACTGGTGCACTCACTCCTGTTAACCCATTTCTTTCTTTCTTTTTAGCTTTGTTATTAAACATCACTTTTTCCCACTTATGTCGTATACAATTCAACAGCAGAATTAAAAAAAATTAAAAACACCGTGTGTTTAGAATTCTCGATGAAGTGTTAAGTGTTGGCACACATTTTTCTACTTTTTTTCTCTTTCTCAGTTTATCAGTGTACAGTTTTGTCACTGAGATAGCTTGCAATTTTTTTAATTTTTATGTTTTGTGTATTAAATTTATTAAATAAATAGCATGCATCTATGCCACATAAAATTCAGTTGAATAGCAAAATAAAAGAATACTTAAAAACAAGCGTTAAAAATTCATGAAAGTTTTGCAAAATATGAAATATAAAATTCGAGATTTAAAAATCCAGGTGCCGCCCATATGTTCGAGTGAGCGACTACGTTACACTGCAGGAAACATATACATTGTATATTTTTGGATATTCTTCATTACTTAATTTCTTTAAAAGTAATACAAGGTGATAATATTTCCCTGCAACAATTTGAAAAGTGATTCGAACATTTAAAGTGATACACGATCAAATCCTGTTTCGACACTAATAATCCATTCTGGCCAAGGCCCACCAGCGGCCGAGCGGTAAAGCCGCTGAACACTGGTAATTCGGTCCGAGGTTCGAATCCCGCGAACGGGCTGGCTGCATGGGTGTTTTCGTGGTTTTCCCCATGTGTAACGTGTATACGAGCCAGTTTCCCTTGGAAAGTCCTCCACGAAAGGCATCCATCCCTCCTCTTAGGCAGATAGCCCTAGTGTGCTTTGCCATAATTAAATACACCACCACACCACCACCATTCTGGCCAAAGCACTTTGGGGTTAATAAAAGTGAAAAGATTTAATATAGAATTGTATAAAAGTATCATTTATTTATTTTTTTATAAGTCTGAGCATTATAGTCTGAGTAAAATTTTTTATTATGTTTATATATGTTAATTTCGATATTAATATACTAATTTTTATAATTAATCCTTTTTTAAAATATGGATATTTTTTGAAAATAATGGATTTTACTAAAATAGAATTAATTTTAATATAAAAGCCTCACAAATAATTCTTAAAATAAAGAAATTGTACAGATCAAAACAAAGTTGCATGCCAATAGAAAATAGAAAAAATTTAGAGGAAACACTGCTCAGTAAGGACTTTCGTAGACACAGGGTATGTAACACATAATTTAAATTACAGTGCTGTCCTGAGTTCACTTAAAAATAAATAAATAAGTAATTTAACTTACATAAATAAATAAGTCCAAGCTGTTTGCGAATGACCATCGTTCCCGATTTCTGAATACTAAATTGCTCACTTTTGCAGCAACACGCTTTTTGTAAAATTCCTGCTACCAAATGCATGCTTTTATTATCTTTTTCTCTTGGAGGATAATTTTTTTATTTATGAGAACAAAATAATTCAATGAATACAAGTAATTATTTCTATAAATTGCTTTTAGGTAGCATTAAAAATATGTTGTTAGGAGCTTGGTCTCTCGACTCAAAATTTCTAGTTTTCATATTCTTTATCGCGTGATCACATCTGCGAAGCAATTTATTATAAAAAAGGAACATATGTTTAAAAATCTTTGAATAGATACTGAGGAAGCAACTGCGATATAAAGTGACTCTTAGACTCCTGGCATATCTGTATCTTAGATTTAAAATAAATAAATAAATTATGATTTCTATAATTTTCTTACCCTGAGATATACTCAAAAACGTTTTAAATTCGCTTTTATGGTCTCATCAATAAATTTAGATTTGCCTTTCTACTTAATCCAGTTTTCTCACCACAGATAAGTCAAATCGAGCCTTATGTTGTAGGTTGTGTCTTTCACTAAATATAATTATAATATATATATATATATATATATATATATATATATTACTTAAATATTCTAAATGTTTCATACTATATATTCATTATAATTATTCATTTTAAATTCTTCGTTCAAAATATTTTACTAATATTTAGATCGAAGCATATGTCATTGCTATTACACTTTTGACACACCAATCGCAATATTGACAGGAACCAATCGAAAGTTTATACCAGTTTGACATGATGTATACATTCACCTTTAATATATTAGCCGTCCTGTTCTCAGGATCTTCTTCGACTGTCAATTTCATTATGACATTGTGACCGTAGCCTATCTTACGGAATTTAACGAGAGTGTCCATCCAGTTGAAAGCAGATTGACTCCAATTTCCTCCTTCTACTGCCGGCCAACCTCCTAAATCTTCCAGGATACGCTTCAGAGACTTACCGTCCTCATAATCTCTCTCCCATTGTGATTTGTCTTCTGCCGATAGAAAAGGTTGTGAGCAAAACAGATTAAACATAAATACTAGTCTTGATGTAAATTTATAGTTATAATATTTAATTCCTAATTTATTTATTATGCAACATCAATTACAAAAGCGGGGAATTATGCTTTCTTCCTTCCGAAATGATTTAAAGTACAAGTATTTATTTATTTTCTCTTCATCTTACATAAAGGTCTATAAGTTCATTGCTTCAGTTTTATAAACATTTTAGAAAATTATTATGTGCATATTTTTTATATAGAGCGTGTTTGTTTTTAAACTGCCACAATTCAGGAGCTTCTGAAGCTCGATCTAACAGTAGCAATGCCACCAAATTTTGTACACGGTTTAAAAAGTTTCCGTAAAAATCAACATCCCTAAAGTCGCCTATAGGGGGTAATGTATTGCTTCAGTAATCTTAACAGCTAAGAATTAGACAAATGAAGAGTAAAGAAGAAATTTCAGTGCAATACTGCTTTGATGCAGAAAATGAACTACGTCAAAGGGTTACAGTACACTCGGAAGGATGATATTTCAGTGCACCGTTGCATTTTATTCAACAAAAGCACGCATTTCCTCGGCAAAGGCTCATAATGTGACCATATTTTCGTGGATGATACATTCATCCTGTATGCTATATTCTCGATGGTTGAACGCAACATATCACAAGCAGTACAAGCCATGACATGTTGCACGTTACGGTCGAGATCCAACCAAGATAGACCTTGGATACAAATAACCCCACATTTTCCACAGGAAAATGCCACATTGGATTAAATCCTGGGAGCAAAGCGCCATGCAGGTGGAAGAAAACGACTTACGAACTTTTCTTCTGTAAATGCATGCGCAACCGCCGCTGTAACGATAGATCACCATACGATAGGGCTCGATCCTATAAAAAAGGTTATCTGATAGAGCAACTTCCTCCGAAGTTGTGGAATGACAAAACTAGTCAGCATGCTGTTATATGTTTGAGTGGTAACGGTACAGATCTTTGGTAATGTTATAGTAATGTTCTCGGAAAATAATGGGTTGGTGATGAAATCTGTTGTGAAGCCACAATAAACAGTGACTTTTGATGAATGTAATAGAATTTCCTCAAGTACGTGAGGATGTGCGTAAGCCTAAATTGGAGAACTGTGATTACTAACTGTTCCGTTTAGGTGAAAATGGGCCTGATTACCCCAAAGAATATTTCAGGATAAGCATCGTTTTTTTTCATTCTGGTAAGAAATGTCAGAGCAAATACCAGTCGTTTATTATAATCGTTTTGTTCTAATTAGTGTACTCAGCTTATTTTGCATGGGTGGAAGTGAAGAACGTTCCGCAAGGTTCTCCATACGGTCGAAAGATTCAAATCCCCCACCCCAATTGTCTCTCTATGATTCCATGGGTGCCGTCAACGATTGCAGTTGCAATATCAGTAACTGTCTGTTCTGACACCGGTTTGCGCCTTCTACTAAACAGAACTGATAAGGATCATGTTCCTTCAAACTTGAATCGTGCCTTTCAAAGCACCAATTGATACCGGGCTTTTATGTAGCTTGTTATACGAGTTCTTAAACTCACGAATAGCGAGACTGCGTTCGACTGTTGGGTATAAAACAACCACAGAAGTAACGAGCATCGACCTACTGAACTCAACTAACATTCGAAATGTCTTCGTTATTTCACCCCTATTATAGACTGAATTAATGCTATCGTTTGCACAACCGACCATCCATATTTTCAAATTTTACATGCGTTTCATGAGAATTTTCAGCTGCGCAGACTACAGCTGTGAAAGCAAGAGCTGGCTTACTGACCCAGCTAACATTCGGAATATCTTCGTTATGTTCTCCCTAGCTTTACAGACTGAATTAATGATGCTGCTATTCTTTAAGTAGCCGAGCAACCCGTATTTTCAAAATTTTACCTGCTTTTCATGGGAAGTTTCAGGGGTGTAGACTACAACAGTGCCAAATTTCTCCCTATCGGCGACATTCGGAGATATTTTGTTTTCTATGAATATTTTTTCCCTTGTCATGATCAGTCCTCCTACCAAATTTGGGGATTTCCAGTAAATAGATCGAGGAATAGATGGCTGTAAATAGTATTACTTCAAAAAGAACAAAACCGCTTATTATATATAAAAAATCTTACTCAGTATATACAAAATATGTTTGGGGGCGTATTTAGCTCTGAATTCTGTCTCGTGAGTAAAAAGGTCTGCCTTAGACGAGCTGTGAACAGAGGGGTGCAGCATGAATTGCAGCTCAGCTTATGAAATATTATGAATTATGTATTCTTTAATTACTCATTGCAGCTTGTGTAGGGAATTTCTGTCATTCATTACATATCATGAATTCATTACACAAACTGTACACTACTAGATTTCTCTCAGGTACATTTGACGTCTCTAATATTCATCTAAAAGAAAACTCCTTAGCGTAGAGAGAAAAACATTTTTTTCTAGAAAACATTTAGATGACCTGTGTATGGAAATGTTGCCATTTAGTAAACATATTTAACTTGAAAGTTTTATATTCCAAATTAGATTTCATCTTTGGTTTCCCAAATGTTCGTAAAACCTTCACTATTACTCTAATTACCATTTCAAAATTGGCATACTGATATACTACATCTCAACAATACAAACTATCAAAAGTTTCAATTTTAAACGAAACCTTGTCAGCATATAAGGCTGTGTAAACCATAGGGATCCATTACGCTTAGCGGAGTACCTTCGCCCAAGTAGAAAAGTTTCTGAACACTGATAGTTCGATCCGGGGTTCGAATCTCGGTGAACGAACTGCATGGGCGTTTTCGTTTTCAAGTAGAATGTCTTCCACTCCCCTTAGGCAGTAGCCCTAAATGCTTTGCCGTAATCAAATAAACCAAACCAAGGCACCAGCAGTATTGTGCTTAGCGCCGGACCCTGGCGTTTACTCTAAGAGACTGGTCGCCAGTGAGTTTGTTCTTATTATATTTAATTTATTTTTATGCGTGAGGGTGTTTGGGTGTCCACCCCATTTCTCCATATCCATACATCTTCTGCTTTTAACAGGTAAGTTTAATCAGATTAATGGATAATTTTAATCTGCATAAATGCATCCAACAAAGTTAATTGCTTTTTGCCTTATGGCTGTGGAACTAATATCTTCTCATAAAATTTTGTTGTGCTAATCATAGGAGCATATTCTACGCCTGTTTTTCTCAATGTAATGTTGTCAATACTATTAATCGGTAAGACACTTCCATTAAATCTGAACAAGAACCCAATTAGATTATTAAGTGATCTCCATTAATAAGAAAACTGAAACTTTATGAGAAAAGAATTCTATTATTTCTGGTTGTTTTAGATCAACAAATATTGCATAAAGTGTTACATTAAACAACTATGTTTAAAAAGATATATCATCTTAAATAAGTCTTTATTATATCTGCGTAGATCTGTACAGCATTTTCATAAAAATATTTTAGCTCATTTAGAAACAAAAAACATCTAATTGTAACTGATGCATTTATATAAATTACAAATTAAAATTAATTAAACTATCTTTCGGTTGAAAAGTATCCTTAAAAGCAGAAGGTAGAAATCTCTCGCACAGAAGAATAAATGGCATACAAGAAGAACAAGCTGCCTGGTGATCGGAAACAAACAGACAAAGCCTCTCCCTAAACACAACAGGTCTGGTACCGGCTGCCTGGGTCCTGCTCCTTTGCCTTATGTAGCTTCTAAGCTTATAAAGATTCTTTTTAAATCTAAAATTATGACAGTTTGAGTAGCTGAGATATAGAATATTCATATGCAATCTTTGAAGAAATTGACGTAATAGTAAATTTTAGGAAGATCTGGTAGACAAAGATCAGACTTATAACACATATCTCCCTTCACATATTTTCGTTTCCACTCGTTATTGCAACCTCTTGCGCTAAGCTTCTAAGGATCTGATGAGTCAGTCCATAACAGCATTTAAATTTCTATATAAATGAAATCCGAGTTCAAATAGGATATTCGAAGAAATTCCATCCAACACAACATTTTACCATTACTTTTTTCATTCTGAAATTGAATGGTAGTAAGTCTGTCTAAGACTGTGTCCCACTACAGTTGTCTGCTATGCATCTGAGGATGGATTGCTACTTAATTCAAATTTCAAAGGCATGTTATGCTAGTGCTAATATATTTAGTACATTTAACTGTGAATCAACAACCGTTTGAATTAAAAAATCTGATATGGATATCACACGACTTCTTCGTGCAGCCTATTAAATTATCCACATTTTTTGCTGCACTTCATTTAAACATACGAGAGCGAATCAAATATAAAACAGCCTTTTGTTTAAACAAAATTTATTTTATAGGAAACATCTACATTTTTAAAAATTACTTTTTCTAAATAATACCCTCCTTTTATGATACATTTTGCTCAAGTTTTGGTAATGTTTTCATTCCATTCACTTAGATTGAAGTTGGACGGGTATCTAAGCAGCTGCCGACTTGATCTTTGGTCTCTAATCGCTTGCCTCCAAATGCTTCTTTGAGGGGTCCAAACATGCAAAATTTTCATGGTGATAAGTCTGGGCTGATTATGGTGATGGATGATCAAAGGCTTTCCAGTTCATTTCCACCAGTTTCTGCTGCATTTCATCTGCTGTGTGGGGTCTAGCTTTGTCATAGAGGATCAACAGCTCTCGGACGGGACAACCTTGTCTTTTACATAACTTGATCAAAGAGACCGTAATAGCAGATTGCATAAGTGTAAGAAATCCACCAGTAGGATCTCCTTCCAGTCTAAAAAAACCATGGCCAACACTTTCCCGCGACAATGAAGTTTTGGCTTTCACAGATTTCCTTCGTCTTTCCTTCTTCACTCCATGCTTTCACGCTTTAACTGGGTGGTTAATGATGCACCCATGTCTCGTCACAAGTGAAACCTTTATGTGGAAAAGGTTCCTCTCCTTCTTCAGAACGAGTTTGAAACAACTGAGAATTGCCAACTGATGCAGCTTT